AGTCTCCAACTTCAATATAAGCTGTTCAGAGTAACGATGGTGTTTTGTCCAGATAAACATAATTTTCACTTGAGTTTTAAATAGCATTGTTACTTTGATGAGCGTTGGCTTTAGCATCCCTTTTTGTCCAAACAACAGTCAAAATAGTAATTAAAAAGCCATGCAGTGAAGTCTCACTTTTCTCCACATATTTGGTTTGGTTTGAGGGCTGAATTGCTCTGTAGTGATGACAAAACAATCCGACACCATCTGTCACACCATTTCAACTCTACAAGACCAACTACTAAGGAAGCTAACTACAGTTAGGTTTCTCCAAAAACATATTTGACCCTAAAAAGTCACCTTAAGCTATTCCTAGGTATGTGGAAGATCAATTGGCCCGGATTTCCTTAATTTTGGTGTTTCGATGGTCAGCCAATACTTACATGTGAAACCGATCTTATCTGCTGATCTTGCCAACTTAGTGCTTTTGTCGTGATATTTATCACAATACATAAAGAAAATACACATAGTCCTCAGGAATAAGCATGCTGGAAGAATGCTTGGAAAGAGCCATTTTTAATCTACAGATATATGTGAATGTTTTATACTTAAAGAGGACACAAAAATAAAGACTGAAGCTAAAAGAAAACATTTTATTAAAAGGTAAACTTTATGCTCACAAACAACACCTTGGGAAGTCTGGCAATTTACTCCCTGCTTGAATTATCTTTTGTAGCCAAGGCATGTTTTGTCCTCTTCCAACTGGGTTGAATTGGTTCTTCCATTAAATCCAAGATTTCAACAAATTTATAACCCTGGAAATAAAAGTATTTCCAACAGAGAGATTGTGCATACCCACTTTTCCCTCACCGTGGTTCTGTGTAGAAAACGTGCCACATGCTTTCCATACTTTCATCTTTTGGAATTTTATGGCACCTATTTATGACATTATCTGTCCTTCAGTCTTTTAGATAGAGGATTGTGTAAAATAATTTTGAAACTCCAGCTAATCATCTTTATACCACACTTATGTAGATTTGGAAAATGACAATCATATTCCATACTTTTCATGATTGCATAGGACCGCTGTGATAAGCTCCTGTAATGACCAACCTTATCTGTGGCAGCAGACCCACAGAAAGCCTCGTAGTCAATCAGTTGCGTCACACTGGGGCTTTCTCCACACACCGCGCAGTCAGCCTGCTTGGGCCGCAGCCTGATGGGCCTGAATCTGAAACCCTGAGCGTCAAACATCAGCAGCTGCTGACCGCAGGAAGCTGGCACACCCAGTCAAGGGAAAGGTTACTTTTTGAAAAAGATTCAGAGAATTGCCTAACACGTCTCCCACTGGTGTTGTAAGAGCGTGGCAACATTCAGGGAGTATTGGTGGGAAAAAAGCGCAACACTTTCCTGAATGACGCATCATAGCCAGGTGTCAGCGTGCGGCTGACAATGCAACACAAAGGGCAGGATAGAGCAAGCCTATTCTCTCCTGCGAGTCGGGATAAATCCCTGCAGTTTAACAAGACAATGGCAAACAAATGGAAAGCAGAGCTCAGAAAATGTAGACATAATATTTCTGTTTTTGTTTGCTTATCAGACAAGCACAAGGCATTATTACAATGGAATCTTTCTGAGAATTTTATTGTTGGCATATCCCAATGACACGGCAAAATACTTTGAAACAAAGAAACAAAAAGGCAAAAGAGGGTTCTGCAAGTGAAGTGGGACAAGGGAGTGGAAAGATAAAGGATACAACCCTGCCCAGAGGCAATTTTGAGGACCTCTAAGGCTTGGAAGCAGCCCATTATACCTGGAACTGGAATAAATAATAATAATAATAAATAAAAAAAAGTTCAAATAAGAGTTATTTACATTCACAAACTTAATGGCTTCAGATAAAAGTAAGAAAGTGAGACGGGGAGAAGTGGGGAGGGAAACTCACCTACTCCTAACACCCCTCCATCTGAACAGTTGGTTACCGTCTCTGGAGGTGGGGGAAGTGGATATAAACATCTGTAGCAGGGGCCTCCGCAGTAGTTATACACAGTCAACTGCTTACACACCCACACACACACACACACACACACAATTAATGCAGTAGATCTCATTAAGCTGGGCGCATTGAGGGGGAACAAGAATATCCCCACAGCCTACCTGTCCCTCCATTCGCAAAGCACTCGCCGACACCAAAGGTTTGCCGCTGAGCACGCAGGCGTCATTTACCAGATAACGTGTGGGAACGTTATCTGAACAGTCAGCTACAATGTCATACATGAGGCATGAGGAGTCAAGGTATCATCCAAAATCACTTAAGTTTTATTAGGATAGCAAAATAGTTTTTGTGCAACACAACTAATCATAAACTTGTTTAAGACTTTACAGATGAGTTGGATTATATTTCTCATCCCAGGGTTACACACGGCCCTCAAGGCCACATATGCAATTAATTTTAAGGGTCTTCATGATTTAGTTCAACCTTTATTATACACTGTGTATCCAAAAAAGTTGGCAGCTGGATTTAACCAAGCAAACAGATAAGAGCCTCACATTGATTAATTACTGCCTAGATTATGATGTCATAGTTATTTAAGCCTGACTGATGCAGTGTGTAGTTTCTCATTTCTTAAACAACCTTGTCAGAAGACACATCCTGTGGTCGTTTATCTGTCAAATAAAAACATCTACGGAGATTGTGGAAGCTACCCAAATTGATTTAAGAGCTGTACAATGCATTATTAAAACTTTCAGTATAAAGGGCGACCATCAAAGTTGAGCGAAAAATGTGGTTGGATCTTTGTTTTTTTTGTTTTATTTTTTGAAAGAATGTAATTGCTAATCACTTAAACCTTTGGTGAAACGCAGTTATGTTCAAAGGGTGAACGTAACAGCAGCTCCACAAAGGAATTCGAGGATTGGGACTGAACAGCAGCATAGCCTTACAAAAACCTCTGATTAGGGTGATTAATGGCAAAAAAATGTTGCAACATGCAACGTCTGCTGAGTGCAGATTTGCACTGTTCCAAAGAGGTGGGTTCATCAGGGTAAGAAAAGTGGTACATGAAGTGATGCACCAATCATCCCTAGTGGCGAGGCAGCTGAGTACCTGCATATATTGAATGCCCAGGTTATTCCGTCTGTGGATTTTTATTACAATATTAAAATGTCTAAATGTAGGCCTCTGAAGTCACACAAACTTCAACCTTGATGAAAATTTATACAACTTCTTTAAAACCAGATTAACTCTACTACTAGTTTGGGCAAGAGGGAGTGGTCGAGTGATTTGACATAATTATGGTAGAAGCTTGACATATGCAAAGAGACAAAACCAAATATTGGCAGAAGTGTCTGAATATGCCTGGGTCTGTATGAACAATTTGGATCCATACATTGTCTATTCTATTTGTCCTCACTCATCTCCAAAGGACATTGAGCAGATCGATACGCAGAGATAAATTAGACAAACAGTACAAACAACAGTGCAGAGACACGCTCATATCCAAGGACAATTTAGAGCAACAGTCATATTTTTGGACTGCAGGAGGAAGTCAGAGTTCCCAGAGAGGACCCGGACATACATGGCGAGAACATGCAAATTCCATGCAGTTAGACCCCAAGCCAGGATTAGAACCCGGGAAATTCTTTTTGGAAAGCAAAAACGCAACCGACTTTTGCAGCCAGTAGTGCAGCCCCAGTTTGGACCCAAAATGCAGAAAATACACAATACATTTAAAACTTGTGCATTCCTGTTGTTGCTTGATATAACTCACTGAAGTATGTTGTATAATCATTCCAGCCTGGAAAAAAGAGCGACTCAGATACGGCATGAAAGACCTAAAATTATTACAACATTCTTGACAGGAACTGCAAGTAGGATTTATACTGACAGCATCTTAGCTTTTGACAGGTAACAGATGTAGCCTGAGGATACTGTTGAATGAGCTGCAAGGCGTTCTCTGGCGAGAGCTGCAGATGGTAGGGAATACACTCCACGGTAGAGTTCAGCCTGTAGAGACACATCCAGACAAAACATTTTAGGGTTCTCATCTTTCTTACAGAAATTGGAAATATATTTTAAGCAACACACATATCCCTCAGCTTAGTTAAAGTTCAAGAACAAATCCATGCTGGGAGTTTAGCTTAAATCACTACTGAATCGACAGAACAGCAAAAAGCAAACACATCAAAAACATGTTTGTGCTTCTTAATTTAATAAGTAAGATAGCGGATAAACTTTGAAACAAAAACTATACTCCAATATATTCCATCTATCTAACTTTTATAAGATGCAGGGCATAAATGTAGAAGTAGCTTTAATGAGTGCACAGGCTAATGTCGCCCTCATGTGGCTGAGTTGATGTGACATCCGCGAAGCCCACAGTAAGCCCACTGTTGGGCTAGAAAGGCCCACAAACAAGCTTCTGAAATAACATGTTTACAAAATATTTGTGGAGTGAGGAGAAAAGCAGGGCTGGATATAACTTGTGGCGAGACTCTAAAGCGCCAGCGTACTTTGCACAGAAACCAGAGGGTGAAAAATGACACAAACAGATACAAATTACTACATTTTCTTAGCATTTACCAGCCATAATACATGAACATCGATTTAACACAGAAAAACTTGAAAAAACTTATAGTCATTCAAGTCTTACCTTTTAACTGCCCTAGCAGCAGACAGAGCCTTAGCCTGGCCCTGATTCTCCTCTCCATGAAGAACCTGCCTGTGGAGGTTGCTGAGCTCCACCTCATCATAGTCCAGCAGACCAAGACGCCCTGCGAGGGACAGTTTGTCATTACCGTCCGTATTGTGTTACAAACTAACTTACAGCCACGATATCAACATCTTTTAAACTTATTGTCGACCCAAGATGCAATACTTTCCCAACTGCTACTGTAGCGCCATCATAATCTGCATTGATCTACCCACCAACACCTGCTGCTGCTAGGTACTGGGCGAGTGGGCAGCCTAGTCCTCCACAGCCCACAATCAGCACCGATGCTCCGGATAAGTTCAGCTGGCCTGAAAAGAATACAGAATCTCTCAGCTCGAATAATCCTATCAAAAACTTTATGTGTCAGAACCTTCCTGTTGTTTGCATGGGTACCTTTTACACCAAGCTCGGGCAGGAGAAGCTGTCTGCTGTAGCGCATGATGTCCTCATTGCTGAGTGCTGGTTTGGCTGTTAGGGGACTGAGCGGTGTCACTTTGTCCTGCAGCTCCAGCACTGAGGCGTGACTCTATTAGCGCACAAGCAGGGTTTTATAATATGGTACTCACTGTCATGTTCTACTATAGGAAGGCCTTCATATCCATCCCAAGGCAACTTGTTGAACATTATAAATGTATTTTACTAGAGCAATGGATGAAATCATCTTCTGGTGTGTTCATTTGTACTTTAAGTAACTTTTGCACAAGAATTGATCAATGAAATTAGCAGATTAACTATTGGCGAAGATAAAAAAAAAAACAAAAAAAAAAAATTTAGGAAGCCGGAGTACCCGGAGAGAACTCACGCATGCACAGGAAGAACATGCAAAATCCATGCAGAAATACTCCAGCCCAGATTCCAAATATATAACTGTAATTGTGACTTTGCATTAACAGCAACTTCAAAGCTAACTTTTATTGAGTTCCATGGGTTCAATCTTTAGATTAGATAATGGCCTGCAAGGGTTCAAGTTACTACTTTATTGCAACTCGGCATAAAAACCTCTAATATCCATGGAAGAAATGTTGGTATCTTCTGAAAGATGCATTGAAATATATTAGGCATAATGCAGAGTAAATCAACATCAACAGTAAAAAAAAAAAAAAGTAGATGCATTGTTTAAGCTTATTGATCTTTTAATTGTCAGAATGTGGCAAAAGAAATGCACAGTGGGGAAAATTTCTACTACTTAACACTGTATTAGCCGGCATATGCAGGGTTGCAGTCAATCCAAAAGCGCTACTTATTTTCCTTGATGCAGATTGGCATTTTTTCCCAATACTGAAATACACTTGAAAAAGTGTACTCTTCCCATTATGTATTGATTTGTATTCCATGTCCTTTTGGTATGTTTTGTTTTTTTGTTTTTCAATCTTTGATTCTTTGTCTTTTAGTTTTTATACTTCCTGTAACATCAATTGCCCATTGGGGATACGAATAAATCTGAATCTAAAGAAATTTTAACTTAGACTGCGTCCTTCAAACGTGACGAATGAATCTGGTTGTAGTTTTTGGTAACTTAAAGTAAAAAAGTCCAAGTCCTGCTGTCAGTTTTAAAATGACTGAAGATGTTGCTTGTAAAAAAAGAAAGAAAAGAAAAATCAAAATCTTCTGAAGGCATGCAATAGATTATGCTAAAATTATACTATGTTAAAACAACACATTGATGCCAATCGATTATAAAAGCTTTTCACCATAATCTTATTTTTTTTTTCTAATACTTCAATACCTTTTCAAGCTGAGCCAGTTTATTCTTGAGATCAACGATCTCTTTTTCTTTCTCCTCAAGCCGCGCCTTCAAACTGCACACTTCCTGGGCCATTTCTTCAGATAAGCATTAAAAAAGCACGTCTGGTTACAATCTAAAACCACGTCGAGTTGTCTGCTAAATGAACGGACTGTCAACAGAGGTTGGCATATGAGGAGCACGATGAAAACTTCCGGGTTTGACCACGTGGAAATGAGACCACGTGGTGAGTGACGTAAATATTTTGGCTTTTTTTTCTTACCTTTCTATTTGTCCTTTCTTTCTTTCTTTCTTTCTTTCTTTCTTTCTTTCTTTCTTTCTTTCTTTCTTTCTTTCTTTCTTTCTTTCAATTTTTTTTATAAAATGCTATTTTAAAATTGATATATATATTTTAAAAAAAGCCGTAATAGTTTGGTACAGAAATAAAAAAATAAGCAAAAATAACGTTTAAAAAAAAAGAAATCTAAGATCCACAGGCATTACTGAAATATCTATTTTGGTATTTTATTTCATACTTTAAGTTTCAAAACCGTATTAAAGGCTCTTTGTGTTGCCCCCGGATGCAATGTTTGTGTGTGAGTGCGGACCTCGGTGACGCGCCGTGAAGCTGGGAGCCTTGGGCACTCCCCGCCTGCCTTTCACATGATCTGAAAGCTCCCTCTGAGATAGAGACAGGAAGGTGGAAAGGAGCGACAACATCGATGGCTGAGCGAAGCCAAAGGATTTCCATAATGCGTTCATTTTATGCTGCATTAATCGGGCTGACATTCATCCTTCACACCCATGGAGTCCCTTGGACAGAGGAAAAGGTAAATCAATTAAAGATGATTAATTCACGTATGCTGTCTAAGGTTACACGGCGGCTGTCTGGGGAAATCTCTTAGTTTTTTTACACGATCGGAAATGAGTTTCACAATCTAAATCTTGTTTTAATTAGTCTGATTCTCTTATTATTTGATTCCTTTCCACTTAAAAGTCTCTGTGCTCTGTAGGAAAACATCTTTACGTCTGTGTTTATTATGTTTTGCTGTGGCCACGTTTAAAATCACTGCAGTTTATCTGCACTTTAGGTGCTATTATTTCCAATCACATTACCAAGAGCTAGTGTCAGGATTTAATGATAAATCTGATGCTGCTTCGTCAGCATCAGATTTATGCTGATGCTGACCATGTTCATGTTCACAGATTGTGAACATGAACATGGTGTTCATGTTCACAATCTGTGTTCATCTCTTCTCCCCTTTAACTAGTTGCTATGGCAGCACAGTCATCCTCTTTGATCCCCCAAGTGGTCTTTGAATATATAGACCTTAAATAGACCCTACTTTTTAACCCTCTCTGATCTCACTGGTCTCCAGACTTGTATGCAGCCACAGTGGCCACGTAATTACATCTTATGTGCCACTGTGTTGCAATTACAGGATGGATGTCTGAGTCAGCCAGAGTGCGTCCAAATAAAGCTCCAAACAGGTTCTGCAGGTCATTGTTTTTGCGGAAGAAAATGTGCCCGAATGCCATTGTCACCAAGAAATGATTGAATGCTCATTTGATTTACACAAAGAGCATTTACTCTAAAATCTTGAGCAAATCTTGAAGAAGTGGATAGTCTGCTTATATTACAGTTTTTTTGCTATCAAAAAAAATCACAGGCAAATCACAGGCTTGTTTTTCAGGCTGTGTTGACATTGTTTAACACACTATTTGTAATATGTTATCACTTTTTAATTCTAAGTCAAATTGCATTTGAGTGTGCTATTTTTGATAAGTGTCATTTTGCCTTTACTAAATAATATATTGTTAAAATTGTTTTTATATATATTTGCATACCTATATCTTTGTGTGAACATTAGCCTTGATTGCCTGTCACTTTGCTGTTGCTGCTACACCTAAATTTTCATTGTGGGACAATAATGAATATTTTTACTCTATTCTGAATTGTTTACTTATGCATGGTCAATTTAATACCACTGAATTAACTGTGTTTTTGTAAATAAAAATAACATAGGAATCTAAAATGCTCAGAAGTTTTGAAGTACAGTTTTAGGTTGTGTTTCTAAAGATTTTCTAACCTAAAAAAACATCTTTAATATAGGGAAGATATAAGTATATTTGTAGAGTCAGTGGATTGGGGAGCATGGCCTCAGCTGCCCACTGACAGCTTTTCAGTTCCTACGTCAAGTGGTGGTTTGTTTCCAGGACAACCATGGTTCTCAGGTGAACTTTGGGACCAAAGAGGCATAGGACTGAAGGATCAATATGTTTATTTTTTTCTGTAAAATAAAATAGTAAAAACAATGTAAAGACGGCTGCGGTAACTCCACTGAATTCTTATAAACAGGAAAGCATCAATATTTTTCAATATGCCTGTTCTCTGGATTTATCCTTTACTAAATAAAGCTTTGTGTGTATGTGTATGTTCGAAGCCAATAATAATCAATATCTCTTAACATAGTTGTAACTTGCTCCATGAGAGGTTTTCAACCGGTCATTGAGAAAACAATGAGTTTGACAATGTGTATAATACAGTGAAATGTAGTTTTGCCATGCTTTATCGTGTTTATGCAAGGTTTGAAACGGACCTTGAAGCACAGAGACTGAATGTGGAAAACAGTAGAACAGTAGAAGTATAAAGTAAGAAACAAGATGAATTTATGGTATACAGGGAAACAGGGAGTAACCAGGGCAACAGCTGTAGAAGACAGATCATGTTGTGGAAGGGACCAGTAATATGTAAACATTAAAACCAGAGAGCTGTGTATACACTGAGGAAGAGGGGAGAAACCATCAGATGCAGGTGAGGAAATCAGATGATGGGGGCGGGGAACTGAGGAAGGGAACAAACTGACAGGGTCAGGGAAGCTGAATAATAAATACAGAGGAGCTAATTGGTTAAATATTCATATTCGTATTAGAGAGGAATATTGACAAAATGGAAAAATATATCTAAAAAATTGAAAAGTACTAACTCAACAAAATTAAGTAAACATATACCGTTTTTAGAAATAATTTAGCTTAGCCTAGTTAAATCAACTATGTAAATTAATCAGTACAATTCCAAATACTCACAATATCCACCCACCCATCCATCCATCCATCCATCCATCCATACATACACACATACATACATACATACATACATACATACATACATACATACATACATGCATGCATGCATGCATACATACATGCATGCATGCATGCATGAATGCATGCATGTCTCACAACAGCAGTTGCTGTTTTGAGACACAGGGATCAGCAGTTGTGTGGCCGATGTGTCATTC